CGTTGATTTTGTTAGAAGGGGGCTATAGATTAACATTGTACTGGCAATATGCATGATTGCTGGGTAAAATTGTAGGTGTGTCACACTGTACGCATTAAAACGTACACGTCGACAGAGCGTTAGTTGATAAGCTGTTTGAATAGAAAATTAAACCTTTGGATTGATCGTTTTTGTAGTTTTATTTAGCGTATCATCAGCAAGTGCATGCTTGCTCATGCAAAACGGCTCCTTGTGACTTGTCGATTCTGAGATGTTTCTAGGTACTCGTGCCCAGGCCGTAGGGTCGGCACGAGGTATAAAATTCAACGCGTATACTTTTATTTCATGCATGGTCACAAATTTGTCTCGAGATCTCCCGATTGCCCTCCGGTTTCTATTCGAAATGATGTCATTATCGCACCTATTCATAATAAAACATCCCGAAGTTAACTGATATAGCGGTGATGTCAACAAGAAGATTACCCATGCACCTCTATAAAATCATCACCGTTCTAATCTTCATCTAGGAAAACTCCTGCGTGAATAGTATTTTCTTTTATCGCCGAAATGGAGCTAATTCTTTGAGATTCGAGCCCTTTTGTTATTCCACAACATTCATTTCACGTGTAAGAGTATATATCAGGACCTTGGTTTAGATCATAAAGGTTGGTGTAAAAAAGACTATCAGAGTGAAAGATGAGGTTTTTGCATGATAGCCCGCTTTACGCAAGCTCGTGATGTTTACTGTGTCTACGCATTTAAAGTTGTCAAAAAATATTGTATACTAGAGAACTAAACTCCTGTCTAGTTGAATACAGATGTTTCGTTATAGTAAGCGAGCACATGCATTTATGATGCAAGTTTCGACATGTTTAGTGGCACGAGTCAACCCTGCCGTCAGGGTCTAGTTCCAAATAAATTGTTGGGGCGTGTCAGGTAGGTATCAATTCATTCAGAAATGAGGAAATAAACAGCATTTTGCCATATAAGGAAATGTTTAGACTGCAAAGGTCTGGGTTTTGGTTTGTTTTGTTTTTGTTTTTATGCACGGATAATATAATATCTTATAAGAGAGGTCATCACTCAATGTGACACACCTTGTACCCGACACTCGGGGTATTACAGCAACTTGAATAATAAGTAAGTGGATTTGTTTCTTAAACATTTATAATAGACAGTACATATCAACAGTGCTTGTGATTACTAAAAATGAGGTCTCAAAAACATGTTTAATTGTTAAACTTCTTTCGCTTACTGTTTTGAAATAACATCAACAAATTAAAAATCAAAGAGGATTTACCTTAAATAATTTAATATCTTTTTAAAACGTTGTCAGTCCGGTTTTGGACGCTTTTTAACTCGCAAAAAGTAGCCCGTAAATACCACGAAAAGTGCAAGAAATCTTCACTAACGTACCAACAAAACAGTCCAAAGAAAACACGAAAAGATTAGAATATKTTTAGTTTTCATGTTGTTAGGATATTTCTTATGCCTCGTGGATTTTCTGAGAGGAATTAGAGATAATATAGTTCGTGTTGGATATAACTGGTATTGTAGGCATACCATAGTTTTTGTAGGCAAAGTATTTGAAGTCGAACATAACATGGTCATTGACAGGGAAGCGCGATCTAGCTCTTTGAAAACAAAGTAAATGATTTGAGCTGAAAAGTCTATTTAGTTTACTGAATCATATACTCACCAGCCTACAAACAACTCTTTGATTTTAAATCACAAAGTACTTAATTGCCTATTTTACAAGACTGAATTGAATACTAAATGTTCCTCATGTSCACGATATCTCTCCAAATAACTAGCTGATCTCCCTCTTGAATAAGAATTGTTTCTGGTTATAAATTAATATTCAAAATCTTTGTTCTATTTTGTCTAGGCCTCACTGAACAAGAATCATGGCAAAGCTTATAACAATTCTCCTAATCGCTATTCTCTTGCTTGCTCCAGCTGTGGACGGCTGGTTTWCATCTACACCAAGCGCTGTAAGTTATCTGAAACTGAAATATCTATGTACTAAATAAGAACTTGAATGTTTGCGTTCCAGTGCTGGACACAGGCTCGCGAAATCACTTTCAGGTTGAATTGATGCTTTGTCTAGCACAAAAGAGTACTAAAGCATGGCTAAGCATGAGGGTCATATAATTATTGAGAACGAAAGCATCATGAAATAATAAATTGAAAAGATATTAATGATCGTAAATTTATTTTCAACTTTTAGGAGAGGGAGGTTGGGGAAACGCCTCATCACTCGACCACTGGTACCGTGTGAGCTCGAGACAAGCAGGGGACATCGTTGCTGGACATAAAAGTGGAACGTACCATGTGGGAATCTACGTTGGCAGTAATATGGTTGTGTCAGCCAATTACCAAAATATTGGAAAGAACGCTAATATGTTTACACAGGGCTACCAAGATCTTGTCTATTGGCGCTACCAAGGTTGAAGCATGCGCAGAAGCTTCACATTTCCTGTACTGGATTAGTGATCTATTCATAAACATAAGTTCTAATTGTAGCTGTATAAGTAGAATATTGTTCGATTTTGTTAGAATGGGGCTATAGATTAATATCGTACTGCATGATAGCTGAGTAAAACTTAAGGTGTGTCACATCTCCTCTCGCAGCTGTTACGAGGTTCATTCCCAGTTCACTCTCCTCTAGTGGGAGAGACCTGGGAACGAACCTCGTAACGACTGCGAGAGGAGACTGTGTCATACTGTACGTATTAAAACGCACACGTTGACAGAGCGTTAATCGATAAGCAGTTTGAATAAAATATTAAACCTTTGCATTGATCGTTAATTGTAATATTTTATTTAGTTGATTTTTCTATTCCCTTTTTGTTATTATTATTGCTATCATCATCTTTCATCATTATCATTGTCATCATGATCATCAAATTTCTGAAAGACCATTCGGAAAAGCTTAAAATGATTAAAGTAGTAATAACTGTGTTTATGGCATTGAAATAGAGAGAAAATGACAACCCTTTTTTTGCAATTTTAGAAACAGTAAACATTTCTTGATCAAGTTTGAAATACAATGACATGCAAAATTATTGTTTGAGACTGAGTTTGATATCAAAGATTATTATCTAGAACGGAGTATAATATGAAGAATTATTGATTTTTGGTGAAGTTTTTTTATGTTTACCTTTTCCTGGTTGCTTCCAGTATCAGCTGACATTGTGAAGTATTAGCTTCGATGATAACACCTTTTTTCAACCCAACGTCAAAATATCCTGCATCCAACAAGTGCTATATTGACATTTAAGGTAATCTACAAGGTGATTTGAAGGAAAAAAATGGATAAATTGCCTAAAGGTATTTCAATTACATCTGCTAAAAAAAAGAGATAAAGGACAAGGAAATACTATTAGAAAAAATGGTAAAAGCTATCTAAACACTGATATCATTAAATAAATAGGACTCATACCTTTGCAATTCCCTGAGTGACATGAAAAATGCAGCGAATGTTTCCAGCTACATTTATTAACAAACAACACCAATAAACAAGAATATCCATTCTTGTTATTTCCACAATAAACTCTTGTTTTAAGTGGGAGCCTTACAATCCATATGCTAAAGTTCTGTCAAGTAGACCCTCGGAGATTAATGATGATAATATTATTAAATAACTAGTAATAATAACATAGCAGCAGCAATAATCTATTCAACAAAATCAATAAAACAAACTTTGCTCACCTGAAAGTTAAGAAGACTGTAACAGCTCGTGGTTCCACTTGAGTTTTGATCATTTTCTGATGCCATTTTCATTGTCGATAAGCGTACAGACCATAGAAAAGCGATTTCGATTTGTTAAATTCGAAGTGATCGACTATTATTATGCCAAAGTGATATCATCAACAAGCCCATTAGCAACAGAGCTTCACAGTTTACGTAGCTTACAGTCAATACTTTAGTGTTAAAATATATTATCCGATTTACAACCACACAACTTTTCATCACTAGGCAATTTCACCCATCAACTAGAAAATTTTAATTTTAAAATTACTAGAAAATTTTAATTTTAAAATTACTTAAGACCTCATTTGTAAAAACTGGAACTGTGATTGCATCCCAATATTCAAAGTGGCATTACTGTTTATTTATAAATTTGCTACTTGTAAAGTGTATAAATATGGAATATAAAATAAATATTCACAAAATGCCAAATTATCACTGCACACCTTTCATTGTTCAGAATTCAATTGAAAAG